GGGAGGAGGGGAACATAAATCATTAGTTTTATTTTGAGTTATAGTGGGACACATCCAAGGCCAATAGACAATTGAAAATGTGGATTGTAAATAGAGAGATGTGATCATTGGCCAATAGGTGGCACTTGAAAACATGAATGTGAATGAGGTAATCCTATGAGTGTGAAGTGAGAAGAAAAGAGACCCTACTGCTTTTCTTGAGAACTGGGAAGTAGATTGCACAAAGAAAACTCAGATTGGGGTAACTTATACATGGAAGTAAGAGTGAATTCATCAATCTGGAATGATTCATTGGTGTGTAAAATTAAGAATTATATAGCTTTAGAAGGTTGTATTTCACATATTCACTTGTATATTAATGGTTTAAAATATAAGTTAAGGATTTTCATGTTTCTATGGATGAATATAAACTCAATAGCTTGAAAGTATTGTGGGGTATACCTAGTTTACCTCTAATATCTAACTTGTTTTCTTTCTTTCTTTCTTTTTTTTTTTTTTTGATGTGTCCTGTTCTCGGTTTTGTTTTGGTTTTTGAAATACGCTGCATTTGAACTGCGCTGTGTGGATAGCCATTGACTATTACCATTGCTACAGTTCTGAAATGTTAATTTTGCTGTAGCATTCCATCTGGGGCCCACTTTGCCTGCCTCACCACTCCAATCCTCAGAATCCTTTGAATTAAAGCTTTGCAGGGTACTGTTCTTTCAGGCAGTAGAGAAGGGAAGGAATACAGTACTACTCTCCTACTTGGGTGTAGCAGTGAGTAGTCCTTGTCCTGTAAATTATATTAGTTCAAAAGCCACATTAAACTTTCTTATTGTTTAAATTTTGTATCAACCTGATCTCTCATATGCAAAGATGAATATGAAGGAGTAGTAAAAAACTCTCTCTCTCTCTCTCTCTCTCTTTTTTGGCAGCTGGCCAGTATGGGGATCTGAACCCTTGACCTTGAACTGTTTCTTTTCTAATTTCATAGGTTATAAAAGTTCAGTTTGAATAGTTTGAGAATGAGAAATTGTTTTCATCTGGAATTAAAAGGGTTTCTTCCCTGCAGCATACAAGCAGTACATTTTTAAGTTAAATACACGTTTTAGGATATATTTGAATAGCTTATGGTAAATTATGTTAAACAATATTTTTCTTCACAGATATAAAATCTTTCTCAGTTTTCTTTTTGTGCTTTACTTAAAGTACTATTTTAAAGAATGCCATTATTTTACCAGTTTCCATGAGCAGGGGTCCCCCTGCAAACATGCAGATACATGCAATATTCTTTTAGGTTTATTGTTTTTCCTAAAACTCTTAAGCTCTTAATGCATGAAAATTGAATCAATTATTCATTCACTTATTCAACAACCATTTATTGATAACAAATAAGAGACAATCAGTTCAACAATAAAATAGGATTTTTCAAAAATTATATTGATTGGAAAGAGCAAATTGCAAAAACGATACATATATATATATGATGCCATTTTTATTCTTTTTTTTTTTTTTTCCTTTTTGTCTTTTTTACTGACCGGTAACGGGATCGCAACCCTCAGTGTCGCGCCCGTACCGGGGACCGGCAACGGGATCGCAACCCTCGGTGTTGCGCCCGCACCGCGCTCAGCCAGTGAGCGGGAACCGGTCTCCACATGGGATCCGAAACCTCGGTGGGAGTGCTGCCGCCCTCCCAAGCGGCGCACTTCTCCAGTGCGCCACCGGGCCGGCCCCCATTTTTATTCTTAATCGTAGGAGGGAAATTTTAGTTGTGTCTGTAATGTTTCTTTTCTTTAAGAAAAACTAAAGCAAATATGGCAGAACGTTAATATCCGTTCAATCTGGGCAGTATGTATTTGCATGTTTTATACTTTTTTCTACACCTCTGTGTACATTTGAAGTATTTCATAATTAAATATTTTTAATTTTTAAATTAATGAAATAGGCAATGTGATAGGGAATGACAGGGGATACTTTAGGTTGGTTGATGGAGAGAATCTTTCTTGAGAAGTGACATATACTGAAACCTTAATAACAGGAAGGAGTTACTCATGCAAAAATACAGGGAAAGAATATTCCAGGCAGAGAAACAACTATTGCTGGAGTCCTGAGGCAGGAGCAAGCATGGCATGTTCAAGGAAAGAAGGCTATTTTAGTGTATCTGGTTGGAAAACCAACAGTTTACCACAAAGGATAATTGGCAAATGATCTTTTAGTCTCTGAATGCTTAAGTTGAAGGAAGCTCACCATGTTTAGACTTACCTAATTCTTCCACAGAATTTTTCCATGTAGTGCATAGAATGATGGGGTAATAATATCTAAAGGTATAAAAGCTTGCTTGAAGGGTCTCTCAATGGCCAAGTCAGGACAGTTTGAGCATCAAAAAAACAACAAAGCTATCAATTATCACATACAGTTTTTAAAATCATAATTTCTTAGTGATGCTCAAAGAGAGAAATGGAAAAGCTCTTCTTTTTAGAAGAATACCAGATAAGGTAGAAAAAATGATAGAATTAGAAAATGACTTTTGCAGATGCCAGTGTAATCATTGATTCAGGCAAGGATGAAAGGTTGTTGGAGAATAGGTTATTCAGTGTCAAAGTATCACTCCATGATTATTTACTAACTACATGGGAGGAACGTACCTTTAAGATGGAGAGATCTGATAGTTATTGCTTCAAACATGTGACCAAACCTGGCATTATGTGCCTCCCTGATGTGATGCAATAGGAAGTACTCATGGTCACCTAAATAGTATACCAGTCAAAAATGTGGAACTGGAATGTAGGACAACATTTGAGAGAACTGGCCTGGACATTTCAAAAAATTCATTTCATTTATAATAAAATATAAAAAAGGTTAGGGAGGTGCTCTTACACTGAAGTATTTTGGAATGAAGCAATATTTTGTCTGCAACTAATCTTCAACATGGTTCATCAAGGAAACAATAGGGCTGGCTGGTTACCTCAGTTGGTGAGAGTGCAGCCTTATAACACCAAGGTCACAGATTCAGATCCAGCCAGCCACCAAAAAAACAAAGAAAATTGTGTGTGTGTATGTGTATAGAGACAGAAAACAAATGTGGCCAAGAAGTTAACAATTGGTGAACCTGGGAGGTGAAGGGCTGTTGTGTGTGTGCATATGTGTTCATTGTACTATTCTTTCAGCTTTTTGGTAAGTTTTTAAATATTCAAAATTAAAAGTTGAGGGGAGTGCTTATTCGTGTTTTGAACTCAAATCCAACTTTTTAATATTTTGTACCCATTGGTTTAATTGTGCTGTTTAGAGCCACTCTGATAGATCCAAATTCTCCCTCATGTGTTGTTAGTGGTATTGGTAGTGGTAACATTGGTAATTTTTATGTAATGTCTATTGAATATGTACTATGATATGCCAGACATTATGTGGAATACTACATTCATTGTTTCAGTTAATCCTCCTAACAACTCTTGAATTAGTATTCATTTCTCCTTTTAATGATGAAAAGACAGATGCTTGAAAAAGTATCACCAATACAACAGAAAAAAAAAACATTTTATCTTTAGAATGAAAATTTTAATTTATGGGGCAGCCTAGAATATTCATTGGTAAAAAGCATACTAGAAACATTTATGATATACTGTAGTCACCAGGCATACATATTTTTCTGGACTTGAACTTGCTTTCTATACAACCTACCATGGAGAGGCAATCTAGTGTGGTTAAGAGCACAATCCCTGAAGCCAGAATGCCTAGGTTCAAATCCCAGTTCTACCATTGGTAAGCTGCTACTGCCTGAGAAGCACTTCTCCAGGATACTATACTGGGGAACTCTATTGTATTAGTTTCCTACTGCAGTACTGTAACAAATTACTACAAACTTGGTAGCTTGAAACAACACAAGTTTATTATCTCATAGTTCTAGAGGTCAGAAGTCCAAAATGGATGTCACTGGACTAAAATGCAGGACTGCATTTCTATTTGGAGGCTCTAGAGGAGAATGTTTCCTTGCCTTTTCGTTTCTAGAGGTCACGCACACTCCTTGGTTTATGATCCCCATCTTCAAAACCAGCGACGTTATGTCTCTCTGTGCCTTTCTTTCATTGTAACATTTCCCTCTGACTCTCTTCTTCTGCTTTCCTCTTCCACTTTTATTTTTATTTATTTTTCTGTGACTGGCCGGTACAGGGAGCCAAACCCATGATCTTGGGGTTATAAGGCTATGCTGTAACCAACTGGGCTAACTGGCCAGCCCTTCCTCTTTCATTTTTAAAGATGCTTGTTATTACATTGGGTTTACTGGGGTAATGTAGGTTAATCTCCCTATTTTAAGGTCAGCCTTAAATTAGACTGATTAGCAGTCTTAATTCCATCTGCAACCTCAATTCTCCTTGTCATGTAACCTAACATATTCACAGGTTCCAGGGATTTAATGTATGAACATCTTTGGGGGGACCTTTTTTTTTTTTTTTGCCTATACATCTGTGTTTAAATTCTAAAGTTTGTAAGGCAGCTAGGTATTACTTACATGATTCCAAAGTAGAGATCCTGGCCAATGCTGAGGACTGTGAGTAGGACCAGTAATTGAATTTGGGCTATAAGAACTACTGAGTGGTATATGTACATGTTTTTTAATTCTTTTACTAGCATAAAGTATATATGGTAAGTTCTGTATTAAAGAATGATTGAGGGGCCGGCCTGGTGGCGCACTGCTACAGTGCGCTGCTTGGGAGCGCGACGGCACTCCTGCCGAGGGTTCGGATCCCACGTACAGACCGGTTCCCGCTCACTGGCTGAGCGAGGTGCGGGTGCAACACTGAGGGTTGCGATCCGTTGCCGGACACGAAAAAAGACAAAAAGGGAAAAAAAAAAAAAAAGAATGATTGAATTAGAAGGCACTGAATTTTAGTTAAATCATGATAGGGATAGACGAGATTTTATTTCTGTTTTGTGCCAGCCCTCAGAGGAAAATGTTCTTGATTTAACTGCCATTTAGAGAAGCTTTGAGTTTAATTTTAATTTTTATATTTTTATTACAGAGTTTTACTACCTTTGGATGCTACTGTTGATATGGAGAAGATTGAGGAACAATTTGCTAATCTGCATGTTGTTAAACGATCCTCAGGAACTAAAGAGCCCACTTATCTGCTTGGCATAGATACATCAAAGACTGTACAAGGAGAAAAAGGAAGCTTGGTTGCTGTTTTATGTTCTAATGAATCAATCAGAATATACGATAAAGAAAGGTTAAACGTACTACGAGAATTTAGTGGATATCCTGGACTTCTTAATGGAGTTAAATTTGCAAATTCCTGTGACAGTGTATACTCAGCATGTACTGATGGCACTGTAAAATGTTGGGATGCTCGATTAGCCAGTGAAAAACCTGTTCAGCTGTTCAAGGGTTACCCTTCCAATATTTTTATCAGTTTTGATATCAACTGTAATGATTATATCATTTGTGCTGGTACAGAAAAAGTTGATGATGATGCATTGTTGGTATTTTGGGATGCAAGAGTTAATTCTCAGGATTTGTCTACTGCTAAAGACCCACTTGGTGCATATTCAGAGACACATAGTGATGATATCACTCAAGTATGCTTCCATCCCAGCAATCCCAACATGGTGGTCTCAGGTTCAACTGATGGCCTGGTGAATGTATTTGATATTAGTGTTGATAATGAAGAAGATGCACTGATTACAACGTGTAACTCAGTTTCATCAGTAAGCTGTATTGGTTGGTCTGGGAAAGATTATAAACAGATTTACTGCATGACACACGATGAAGGATTTTGTTGGTGGGATCTTAATCACCTAGATACTGATGAACCAATTACACGTTTGAACATCCGGGATGTCAGAGAAATAATTAATGTGAAAGAAGGTATTTTGGATTATTTGATTGGTGGCCTGTATCATGAAAAGATGGACAGATTGTTTGTTATTGGAGGAACAAACACAGGAAGGATTCACTTAATGAACTGTACCACATCAGGATTGATACATGTGACCAGCCTTCAGGGAGGGCATGCTGCTACAGTTCGTTCTTTCTGTTGGAATATGCAGGATGATTCTTTGCTGACTGGAGGAGAAGATGCACAGTTGTTACTTTGGAAACCTGGAGCTATAGAGAAGACCTTTACAAAGAAAGACAGTATGAAAATAGCATCCTCTGTGCACCAGCGAGTACGAGTTCACAGTAATGATACTTATAAGAGAAGGAAAAAGTAGTGATATTACATTTGGGAGTTTACTTAGTAGGTTTTATAGTTTTAAGTAATTTTTTTTGTTTACTACCTGCAGTAGATATGTTTAAAACTTTAGGTAAAAACAAGCCAGTTTGCAAACAGTCCTGGAAAAATGTTGAGAATGGTTTATTTCAAGTCTTCATGTATTATAAAAAAATTTTAGGGCTGGCCCGGTGGCGCACTGGAGAGTGCGCCGCTTGGGAGCGCTGTGGTGCTCCCGTCGAGGGTTCGGATCCCATGTGGAGACTGGTTCCCGCTCACTGGCTGAGCGTGGTGCGGGCGCAACACCAAGGGTTGCGATCCCGTTGCTGGTCCCTGGTACGGGCGCGACACCGAGGGTTGCGATCCCGTTACCGGTCAGTAAAAAAAGACAAAAAGGAAAAAAAAAATTTAAAGCCAGGAGTATAAAAATCAGTGATTTAAAAAGAAAAAAAAATCAGTGAGTTAAGTATAATTACATTTCTCATTTTAAAACACATCTGTTGAATTAGTAAATATTGGGTTTAAAGAAGTGTCTCTGATTAGGACTTTTTAGAAGTAGACAGCTGGTAAAACTTAAAAGAGGTGGTTGGCTGTGTATTTTTTAGCTCAGTTTTTTACATTTGAAATTTCTTCTTGTTGATAAGACCAAATCAGGCTATTTTCTTATTTGAGGAACTTCTATTTGGTCAGTGCACCTTATATATTACATTGGAGAATTTAAATGTAAATATTCTGAATCTAAATAGAATTAAATTGTTTTAGAAATAAAGTGATAGGCATCTATCTATAATGAGATGAATATATTTAGTAAATATTTGCATCTACAATATTGTTAAAT